TACCATTTTACATTCCCACCAACAGTGTGTAAGTGCTCCAGTCTCTCCACAACCTCTCCAGCATTTATTATTTTGTGTTTTTTGGATTAATGCTAGCTTTGTTGGGGTGAGATGATATCTCATTGTAGTTTTGATCTGCATTTCTCTAATGGCTAATGATCCTGAGCATTAGATGAGAAAACTCTTGTGTTCTCTCCTGTGTAAATGAAAGCTGTGGGCTCTTTGGTGAAAACTGACTTTTAGAGCCCAGGTGACAATCTCCATTTAAGAACAATCTATACAGTTTGGGATTACCTACATAGATATTTTGGGAATTAGGACAAAATCACAAAGAAAGAGTTGGTCTGACATTGAGGAATGAATGCTCTGGAGCTGTGTTTTCCTCCCTTCCATTCCTTGTGAATTCATCTTGATATGTAGTCGATGATCTCTTGGGACATTTCCCAGACTGGGTCATGGGTCATATTGTCCTCTCCTGACAGGATTTTTCTAAGGTGTTTTATAATGTACAGAACTTCTTATATTTGCATTGCTTCTGCTGTCTAAAATGGGTGTTACCATTCTTCTGGGTTGCGGGTATAAGCAAGCAATTTTCTTTTTGTTTCAGGCTGTCCTGTGCAGTCCCCAAGGAGAGATAATATGGGAAAAGACTCCTCACTACAGGTGCGGGTAGCAAGAGAGTCCCGGGATTCTGAGGCTGACATCCGTACCGCTGGACCGTCAGTTTGAGAGTGGCTGAGCCTGTAAGGAATCCCCTGTAACATCATATTCTAAAACGAGATGGCTTCTGAGACCCTCATTTTCTATGTTTATATTGAAGGAGCAAACGACAATAAATATTTTAAGACTCTCAGAAAAGTTCTGTATTACCAGGAATTTTTTGTTGAACTTCCAGCTTCTTTTGCTCAATTGTCTGTAGTCAATCCAAATCTCAGATAAACTTCCTATATCAAGGAGAAATCTGAGGTGAATGACCTATTTTATATTCTCCTAAAGCAACATGTAGATTCATTCCTACAGGTGAAGAGAAACTCATGGTCACTATGTTGTTGTTGTTGTATGCCAGCTAGTCAATTCCGACTAAGCAGATACTGAATTCAGGACCACGGCTGAGTTCTCCTTTCTCCAACCCAGATGATCACTCTGCAAAATCATTTGAACATTCTAAAATGTTCTGTGCAGATTGTGTTGTTTTTCTTATATAAGTGTCACATTCTTCCCCTATCCTACACTGGAATATGGTTTCATGGAGATGAATGAGCGGGGAAGGAATTGCTACAGATTTTCTTATTCTGCCTAAAGCTTCATGGCCCAAATACTATTGCTCCCTCACTACCAAGTTAAACATTTTTTTTTTTTTTGGCTGCTTAATTGTTTAATGTTTACTTTAAAAAATATTTTATTGAGTTTTTGGTGAAAGTTTACAAAGCAATTAGGTTCTCATTTAACAATTTCTACACATATTGTTCCGTGACATTGGTTGCGCTTTCCACATTGCATCAACATTCTCATTGTTTCCATTCTGGTTGTTCCATTTCCATTATTCTTGTTTCCCTGCTCCCCTGTGATCTTCTCATCTTTGCTTTAGGGTGAATGTTGACCATCTGGTCTCAAATAGATGATTGTGCTTTTTTAATGTTTAAAATTTTTTTATAAAAGGAGCACAGTACTCAAGGGTGATATTGTTTATTTTATGAGCCAATCTGTTACTTAGTTGAAAGGTGACTTCCTGTAGTCATTTCAGTTCAAAGTTTAAAGGGTATCTCAGGGTGATAGACTCAGGAGTTCCTCAGGACTCTGCTGGTCCAGTAAGTCTGGTTATTTTTTTAAGATTTTGAGTTTTGTTTTACAATTTTTTAAATGTTTACTTTGAAATCAAATTATACATTCATATAGTTTAAAGAGCTAAATTGTTCTAGATTTCCTTATTAAGAAAACAGTGCTTAATAGCCCTCATCCTATTGCCTTTTTCCACAGCAAGCCTTTTTTAAACTAATTTTTACCTGTCTTCTCCCACATCGGGTTTTCTTTTCCTGCAAATCCCAGCATGCAATTCTCCTTGGCTTAGTCCTGGATCACACCACTGAGTTCTGAGCCCCATACACATGGGCTAGTGGGGAGTAATATTTTCCAAGAGAAAAATTATGGGTCTGTTACCTGGAGAGGAGTGAATGTATTCTGGATAGCACAAACAAACAAATAAAAGTCCGCTCTAATAAGACGTTTAATTTGAAACAATTAGACATAGCTAAAGTGTAGCTTGAGGGCCTGAAGACAGCCACCGTCTCCTACTTGCACGTCTACCCAATAGATAAAACATCTTTCAGAAAAATAGAAGGGGAGGGAATACCTCCCAACTCATTATTTGAGACCATGATTATCCTGTTACCAATATCATATCAAGATATTGCAAGGAAAGAGAACTAAGTATCAATATCTCATATGAACATGGAAACAAAGATCCTCAATAAACTATTAGCAAATCAGATCCAGCAACATACAAAAAGGACAATACATGATGATCAAGGAATGAAAGGCTTGTTCAAATTTGAAAATTAATTGCTGTAGTTCACCAACAGACTAAAGACAAAAACCACACAATTTTCTTAGTAGATGCAGAAAAAAGCATATGACAAGTTCAATATCAATTTATTAATACTTTCAGCAAACTAGAAAATGAAAGGCAGTTCTTTAACTGGATAAAATATGTGAAAGACACTTATTAAATCCTCACAACACCCTCAGAGATGGTTAACATGATCACAATTTTATAGGTGAGGAAGCCTAGCCTTGGTGATGTTTGATAATTTACCTAAAAGAGCAAAGCTAAAAAGTAACAACAGATTTGGGATTCTAAAATGGGCAGTTTGATTCTAGATCTTTTAAAAAAATTTGATCTGTCTCAGACGAAGGGACTGGTCCACTGACATTTGATGTGAAAAATTGTTGGGTATTTTAGTTGGCAAAAAGCTAAATTTAAACCAATACTATAATATTATTTGGTATTCATTCCCAGGCTGAATTTATTATTGGGCAAGTGAAATTGATAGCAAGTGCAGCCAGCAGCTGCTCAGCCATTATCAAGCAAAACCTGCTCCTCCTGTCCCGAAGTAACCTAAGCCTCATTAAGACCTAATTGAATATTAAGATCTCCACCCAGAGCAGGACTTATCTGCCATTGTCTGTACATATTAAGGGGAAAAAAACTACAATTTGTCTTACTGTGCCTGCGTGTCACAATAACCTATGTAGTCCATGATGTTTGTCTGTAATTCCTTATGAAGGATGGTATAAAAGGTTTTGCCTCCCTTTGTTCGGGGAGCTTGATTTGAGGTATACACCTCCTTGCTCTTTGCCTGCGTGCTTGCAATAAATGCTCTTCCTCCCTCCTCACCTCGGTGTGTCTTTATTGATGAGAAACTGAGCTGGGCAAGAACCTGCTTTGGGTAACAAAATTACGTTTGTAATATGCAATTCATGTCTGGGCTCCATTCTTTTAAGACACCCTAACAAGGATACAAACACAGTGCACCAGAAAAGGAGCATTAAAATGGAAAAAGATGAAGAATATAAAGCATATTAGCAGTGCTTGCAATTTTTCTCTTGAGATGAAAAGCACTATTAGAAATAGAAAATCATTACCCTTTAAAATAACACAGGACATGATGTCCTCAAAACAAATTATCAGAATGGGTGCTTGTTTGGAAAAAAAATGATGGCAGGAGAAAGACAAAGCATAGAGGTGACAAACATGGAGACAGGAGCCTACTTTGCAGTTATGGTAGTGATCCAGGCAAGAAGTGGTGGAAAGTGGAGCTAGGAAAGGGCCAGTGGGGATGAACACATGAATTAATTGGTGAGATGTCAGAGAGCTCCGATATAGATGGGACTTGCAGGTTGTGTGGGAGAAAACAAGGAGTAAAGTCATTGGTATTGGCACTTGAGTAGATTTTGTTGCTGTTTACTAAAAGAAGTCTCACTAGACAGGAAGAGCTTTCTGGGCTAAATGAAGTCCAAAATTCCTGTTTTGAATTTGATGAGTCATTAAGGCATCCAAGTGGGAACCTCTAGTTGGAGAGGTAGAGGTGATTTTAGAACTCCTGGTCTCCATAGATTCACAGGATTACATTTGGGACAGTAGGGTAATAGTGCCTTAGCGTTGTATTCTCTCACTCTAAAGTAGAGAAACATAAAGAAAGAAACAATATTTGCAAGAAAAGTTTAGGATAAGTAGACAGAAAAAAAGAGTAAAAGAAATTACACTCAGTAAGAAATAATCAGAGTTAGGACAAAAGAAGTAATAGGAAAGACATATACAAGTTCAGAGATGGAGTAAAAAGGAAAAATGATTTAAATTTTTTAAAGCATCAGGACATTTAAAGGATCAATAAAAATTCATAAAAGAAAAAGAGCAGAAAAAAAATAAAAATTTTAAAAGAGAAGATATGTGCCCTCAGAAACCGCAGGGGCATCTGCAAAGAAAAATGATGATATACAGACAAAGTAACATAACGTCCAATGAAACAGAGGCAGACACCAGAGACCAATATCCCATGGCCATTTAGAATACAGTCTTAATAGACATCCACACATTTTTACCACCATCAGAGTGAATTGGGATTTCAATAGTTTTCTTTTTTGGGGAGGGGGTCACAAATTATTATAATTACTAAACAATAAAAGGACTTTTACAGAAAGCCCTGCAGGTATTTAAAGCAGGAAGGGGTTTACTACAGGAAATTATGTGCTTACTAAATCCTCATCAGGAAGTTTAAAAAACCACAGGAAACCACTGCTGAATGTCACAGATGCAACAACACAAAGGCTAGTAATTTCCAGGACAAGTGCAAAGGCCCCTGCAAAAGTAAGCCTCCCAAGAACAGTTGTCTTTGGTGGAACCTAACCCAGATTCTTCCAGCAACAGACTGTGAGAAATGTAGTTTCCAGACTCCCAGGCCCCAGTCCTGCAGGGAGAATAAAAGGAGACAGGAAAGGTAAGGGATTGGTAAGAGATAATGCAGCACAGTCGCTTATTCAGGGCAAAGGGGAGCTCTCTGGTTACTTTAGCAGAAAACCTTGTAATCCTACCCACAGGGCTCCTCTAGTCGCTTCTATTGCTACTTTTCACAATGACTCCTCAGGGTACTGGGTGAGGAGAGTTTAGTGTGGACCTCACACTTTGGTGAGATCCAGTCCTTTTAGAAATTAATTTCAAGTATGGAAACCACCCTCTTTCTTATCTTTCTAAAAGTACACTACAATCATAATAATTTACAATGTATTTCCCCTAAATCTTAGTTATTTAAACTTCTTTCAAGGGGCATCAATATTCTAATTAGTCTTAATTTCTCTCCCAGGAAACCATTGTTTTTTCTACTACAATGACACTCTGGCTAATGACATACCGAATGCATTTACTAAAAAATATACATGGTAACCCAATTTCTGGAACCTAAACTGAGATTCAAGATAGTCTAATGGTTTTCTCCACGGCCAATGGGTGGTTAAAACCAAAAAAACCCGTTGCCATCAAGTTGATTCCGACTCATAGCGACCTTATAGGACAGCGTAGAACTGCCCCATAGGGTTTCCAAGAAGTGGCTGGTGGATTCAAACTGCTGACCTTTTGGTTAGTAGCCAAGCTCTTAACCACTGTGCCACCAGGGCTCCAATGGGTGGTTACTTATATTTTGTGGAACCAAAAGTTTGTCTTGGTGAATTTCCAAGTTAAAAGGTGTCATCTCTTATGCTAATGATACCATAGAATAAAACTGCCAGAACTCCCTCAATTGTCACTCCCTTGATAAAACAATGATAAAGATAATAGAATAAAAATAATGGTTCTATTGAGTTATTATTTTATGATCTTCATTAATCATTTAAATTTCAACAACTCTGCATTTTTATCCTTGAACTATTTATATTAATATTTTGGGTCAGGTGGAGCAGTGGTTAAGAGCTTGGCTGCTAACAAAAAGGTTAGCAGTTTGAATCTGCCAGCCACTCTTTGGTGGATTCAGTCCTACCCTGTCCTATAGGGTTGCTGTGAGTTAGAATTGACTTGACAGCAATGCGTTTGGTTTGGTTTTGGTTTAAGCTAATCTTTAAGTTTCAAACACTTAGGTTTTTAAAACAGATAAGGTAAATAATTTATATCGTTTTTTAAAATATTCCCCTCACTTATGATTATTAAGCAGTGTTTTACATACAAGGAAATATAAACACTTTATACAAAAAAGAATTAAAATATTAAACAGAGTTCTGCATAAGGAGGAAACCAAAAAAACAAACCCCCTGCCGTTGAGTTGATTCTGACTCATAGGGACCCTTTTGGACAGAGTAAAACTGCCTCATAGGGTTTCCAAGGAGCGGCTGGTGGATTCAAACTGCAAACCTTTTGGTTAGCAGCCGTAGGTCTTAACCACTGTACCACCAGGGCTCCAAAGCATAAGGAAGAAAGAGCTTTTTTGCAGCAGAGTGGTGTGCTGCAGTCATGGAGAATTTTTAGGCCTGAAACATTCACCGTCAGCAGTCATGACCTTTCTGTGGAAGGTATTCAAAACAAAAACAAAATAAAACCAGCAGATATTATTCTAATGATTATCTTAGTAATGTTAAGAGTAGAATAGTATCAGTAATTGTTTTATGTTTCAGCTTCTAAAACATGAATTCTTATCTCAATACAAAGTTTAAAAACGTAGGCTGAGAAATTTTAAGTTTCTGAGAGTCTTCCATAGATAAAGCAATAAAAACAAAGAGGCGCCTTGACCCCCTGTTTTCATGCCCTGAAACCAGAAAGACACTTTGACCATTTCCTTTCAGTTTTATTTGTTAATTACTACTTTTCCTTTCTGTTGCTCCATAAAGATTTCCCCAATTATCCTAGCCCATGATGACCTTTGTCTTTTTTGCCTTGGATTTCATTTCCTCAGTTGGATTAGAAGCTCCCAGAGGGCAGCGGTTGGACCTCATATTTCTTGCCCAGTCCAGCATTTGGCACATTTTAGGTTGTTAGTCAGTGTTGTGGTTTCTGATTGTCTCTTTGGGTGAGAACCACGGACCTTGTGGGCCTTGGCAGATAGAGATTGGGCATGAAGCCTCCTGGAGATGATGTCAAAGACTGTGGAGGCATGTTAGCATCTGGTCAATGGTCTTCACCGGTCACTTAGAATTGAATTTAGACTAGGAATTGTGATCATCATGTGCACTGGGGACTGGTACTAGTGCAGAGTCTTTCATCCTTGTGGCAGTGGGCTGGGAATCTCTGGGGAAAGTGACTTGAAGCATGAGAAATTTCTGCCATAAGGGGCTCTTTGAATGGGGGAAAATGGATTGATCCAAATTCTTTGAAAAATGAGGCTCTGTTAAGACAATTTTGTGTAGTAGGTCAGGAATGCGGAGAAGTTAAAGGAAGTTCCCTTTGTGAGCGAGGCTGCTCTGTGTTCTTGTATCAGCTAATGCCATGGTCTGATCCCTTGGCTGTCTTCACACTTGCTTCCAAAGCCACTATCAAGGACCAAGAGAGCATGTTGTGGTTATATTCAGAGCAACCCCATTGCCCTGTTGTTATGGATTGAATTGTGTCCTCCTAAAATGTGTGTCAACTTGGTTAGACCATGATTCCCAGTATTGTGTGGTTGTCCTCCATTTTGTGATCTGATGTATTTATGCTATGTGTTGTAAATCCCAACCTCTATAACGTTAATGAGGCAGAATTAGAGGCAGTTATGTTAATGAGGCAGGACACAATCTACAGGATTAGGTTGTATTTTTGAGTCAATGTCTTTTGAGATATAAAAGAGAGAAGTGGGCAGAGAGAAGAGGGACCTCTTACCACCAAGAAAGAAGAGCTGGGACAGGAGCATGTGCTTTGGACCCAGGGTCCCTGTGCTGAGAAGCCCGCAGGTCAGGGGAAGATTGATGACAAGGATCTTCCCCACAGCCAACAAGAGAGAGAAAGCCTTCCCCTGGAGCTGGTGCCCTGAATTCAGACTTCTAACCTCCTAAACTGTGAGAGGATAAATTTCTGTTCGTTAAAGTCATCCACTAGTGGCAGCACTTGATAAAAAAGCCACCAGTATTCTGTTTATTTGAGATGACATTATTCCCATTTCAGACAAGAAATCATTTCTTCCTCACTGAGACTTGTGGCTGGGGAGAGATTTTCAGGATCCCTTTGACACACATTCCTGACATGTATAAGCAAGTCACAATAGGCAATACCAGGGTTTCTGGGGAAGGAAATGGAATCTTTCTTCAGGAACTTTTGCCCTTTCTTGATCCTCCACCTTAAATGTCTTTTTGTCTGAATAAAATTGGTTCTTGAGGTGAGGAGTTTGAGGAAACAGGCCATTTCCAATGCCATGGTCTGTAATTCCAACACAGGGACTCTCTCATTCTAAATATTTGTGTATGAGTCTTCATTTTTCTAGTCAGGTTTAGGTATTCTAGTGTTTTGCAGGCTATTGAGGCTTTTGTAGAAGCAAAGCTACCTGATTTTCCTCAATGTTTCCTTTATGGTATATGTAGGATGAGGCTTGGCCAATCCCCACCCAGACCTTCATCCCTTCCATTGTGCCTGAAGCTGTGACTTCATCATTTTGATCACTTAAGAAGTGACAGAGCTGGGGCAGAGAATTCCCACGTCCTTATTCACATCCTCATGTGTGAGTCCGAACTAGGTGCCAGCTTACGCCTAAATGTGGCCTTTTGGCTGTACATTCTGGCAACAATGGCCATTCTTTTCATTGTCTATTTCTTATTTTTTCCCTTCTTCAGTGAGGTTGATGAACACATAAGGAAATGTAAGTTCCCAGGTGGAGCTTGTCATTGTCTGTTGTTGTTGAGTCGATTCCTATTCAAGGCAATCTCATGTGGTACAGAGTAGAACTGCTCCATAGGGTTTTCTGCTTAACAGAAGCAGATCACCAGACATTTCTTCCACAGTACTTCTGGGTGGGTTTGAACCACTAACCTTCAGGTTAGCAGTCGAGTGCAAACCATTTGTGCCACCCAGGGTCCTAGGTGGAGCCTAGAGAGTGTATATATATGGAAGGAGGAGAAAGGATCAATTAAAATGTGAGGTAGTTAAATATGTATATTCTTTACTGCATGATCTGGAAAACAATTCCTCTTCTCTGGGCTATAAGGTCTTTCAGTTACCCTCAACTAAGAGTTCTTAAAAATTATAATCCCATATATGCTCGAAGTACTTGTGGGACACTATACCGAAGTTAGGACTGGGTTAGGAAGTGCTATCCTGGTACGCCTGTGAAAAATGAGGAAATATTTTGGACTCTGACTGGGCTGAGAATAAGGTTTAGGTATAAGGATATGGGGAGTCTGAAGAATATGGGGATACATGAGTCTCCAAATGTTGGTCTCTGACCCAGAACACTTTTAGTCTTGCTCAGATGAGGGTATTCTCTGCGTAATGCTGTGTCTAAGGACAAAGATGACAATGAGATAAAAAAGGACCAGCTGAGAAGGCCAGGTAGGTACCGTTTGCCCTTCACCTCTGGGTTCTTCTGGCCATAAGCTGGCAGCTCTAGTCAGTTCCATAGTCTATGTGCTGGGTAGCTGGAGACGTAATGCTCAAATCTGGTCTCAGTGAGACATCCCCTCTTGTTCTGTACATGACTCCTCCTTCCTCTAAGCTTAGCCTAAGAGTGCTGAGCCTTGTCTCTACCACCAATTGCCGTGGAGTCGACTCCAACTCATGGTGACCCCATGTGTGCTAGAGTAGAACTGTGCTCCATAGGGTTTTCAATGGCTGAATTTTTGGAAGTAGATCACCAGGTCTTTCTTTCAAGATGCCTCTGGTGGACTCTAACTGCCTTTCTAATACGTTTGGCTGTTAAACTTTCAGATCCAGCCAAGAATATTAACCATTTGCACCATCCAGGGACTCAGAGCCTTCTCTCTAGGGAGATTTCTTTTTAAGCTGAGTTTTGGATCTAAGCCCTAATCAACTCCTATGAGTGAGAAAAATTTCTCCTTTTTGCCTGTTTCTGTGAAGTTTCTCTTTCTATTAATGGTCTCTTTCAAGTGATTTAGTGATGAAATTTCCATGTTGCATGCTAGACAGTGGAAAGGAAAGTTGCTCTGAATCTTCTCCAGGCAGTGGTTATACATTTGATTTTGAAATAGGAATAAGGATAGAAGGACTCTGTCGTCTACATGGATGAGACCATCAGAGAAAAATTGAAAGTTCATTCTTCTGGGGAGCATTCTGACTACCTGTTGACCATAATTGCTGCAGATGTGTGTATGTGAGGAGACTTGTCTCTCCAGTTAAGGTCAGCTCTGACCTCCTTTGTGCTGTTCTATGACTCCCTGGTGACATCACAGGGGGGGAACACACTAGATTCTAGGATTTTCTATGTGCACCACATCACTCCCTCGCTATGAATGTTCAATGTTCTACATATACTCCCACCAAGTTTCCCTTACACAAAAAGCAAAATGCCTAGTATGGAACAGGCCATTGTGTTGCAAACAAGTTGAAAATAAATTTCTAGCTAAATAAATATCTGGATTTGGGATTTTTTTTTTTTTAATTGTAATTCAAGGGGAGAATGGTATCATGCATTTGGATTTGTCACATCTCTAACATTACCAGAGTATGTAGTGGTGACAAGCAGAATGTGTAGACAAGTAGGATGTCTAGCCCAACATTGCCATTGCTTAAATGAGAATATCGTAGATGAATAAGTTAAGTGAATTGCCCCAAATTTATCATGAAGTCACTGTAACTCCTAGTCGTTTGTACTAATGTCTCCACTTCCCCTAATCCATGCTCCTTTTCATCACTGTGCTACTGTTCTTGAGACCCTTGTTTGCCCTAAGAGCCCCCAAATCAGAAGAACAGTAACCTGACTGATGGTTGCAAAGGGGTTGAGTGGGTCACTTTGTCTGAAAGTTTTCCTAGAGGGGTATCTACCCCACAAATGGGTAAAGAGACACAGGCTTATTATCCACAGACTCTTGTAAATGACCAAGGAAAGGTAAGGTGAGCACACCTATCCTTCATGAGAGCTTGGAATGTGAGTGGGCTCCTATCTCTCTCATACATCAGCTTTGCCCTTTTCAAGGCATTTCTGTCATTTCTCTGTCCTCACAGGGACTGGGTAAATAAACCCTGGGTTCTGTGGGCAATGCTTCCCCCACTTCTCAGTTACTGATGTACACACGTTGTTCTTCTGTGACTATGTTTCTCAAATTAGAATGTTAGTTCCTTGAATAGTCAAAATATTTTTCTTTTTTTTTAGTGCTATTTCTAGGTGTGATTAAAAGTATGGGGAATCAGTTTAGGTATTAACATACTGGCATTTTTTTGACATTTTTATACTTCATGATGACCTAGTAATTTAGATTAAGACTTTCTGATAAATATGTAGTTTTCATGGACTTAGATATCAGATATGAGGAGAGAATTATTCCAGATTTTCTTGTAGACGTGGACACTATTTTAGAAATTTAGAGCTAGAAGAAACCACAGAAAATATAAGCTTTAAACTTTCAGATGAGAAAAGTACCTTTTCTTCCTGGCTATGTGGGTAAGATGAGAGTGATGTGATTTTTGGTGACATTTTACTCTTGGCGCTCAAAAACCATTCGTATGTGGGGACAAGTTAATAAAGCTGGGAAATTCTGTGTGAAATTTTTTCTAAATCAGGGAAGAGCTACAGATGAAGTGTTAGCCTATCCTTCAGAAATGAGGGTTCTGGAGCAGTGTTTTCTTACCTCCATTTCTTGTGAATTCACTCTATTAGTATTTTGCAAAGTGAAATGTTCCCCACCCCTTCTCTACTCCCAAATCCTTGCTGATTATGTAGGCAGGCAAATAGTTCTGCATACAGCTGCTGTCTGGCAATAATCTTTTGCGATAAATATTTACCAGAGTTTGGCCTATGTGCCACATGGCTCTATCTTGATATGAATGTTCTGAGATATTTGCTAATGCTCTGAAATATTTGCAGTCTGAATCCCTTGAAATTGTTTCTGCTACCTGAATGGGTAGCATTAAGCTATAATGAAGAAATACCTTTTTGTTTCAGGCTGGTTTCAGCAGTCCCCTGGGAGAGAATCTCTGAGAGGGGAGGAAGTTGGGATGAGAGAAGACCACTCACTTATCATGGAAGTGGTAGCAGAGAGAACCCAGGAAGTTTGTCCAGTAACAGTTTGAAAGTGGCTGAGCCTATAAGGAATCCCTGTGACATCATGTCTCAGGAGAGGGCCTCTGAGACCATCATTATGTGTGTTTGTACTGAAGTGAAATTGGTAATAAATACTTTGCCATGTTATGAGGAATTCTTTGTTGAACTTCTTGCCTTTTTCATCTAATTTCTTTTAGTGAATCAAAGTCCCAAACACATCATCTTTTTCCACGTGAAATCCTAGGAGAGTGATCTGTGCTATTTTCTTTTCCTAAGGCAATAAGTGGTTTCACTTCCATAGGTGAAGAGATGTTTCTGGTCATTACTAAAATAGGCCACAGCTGAGCCCTTCCTCTCTCCAGCCAAGATGATCACACAACAAAATCATCTGAATATTCTAAATGTTCTGTCCAGATTGAATTGTTTTTCTCGTATAAATGCCATGCTTCTCCCCTACCCTACACTGGAATAAAGTTTCATGGCAATAGATGTGTGGGAAAGGAATTGTTACAGATTTTCTTAGTCTGCCTAAAGCTTCATGGTCCCCACAAACTGCTTTTCTATTAATTTAAACTAATTTTTGTTTCTCCTCTTCCACATCAGCACATAATTCTTCCTTACCTTCAACTACCACATACACTTGTTTACCATGCCCTACAGTATCCTTATGAAGGAAAAAAAAAAAAGCAATCAATGGAAACTGTCTCTAAGTGGGCCCAGATGCTGGACTGAGCAGACAAGGCCTTCAAAGCAGCTATTAGGAATAAGTTTGAAGAATTAAAGAAGTCATATATAAATAATTAAAGGAAAGTATGACTACTATGACTTAATAAATAAAAAAATAAAATCTGTAAAAAAAAGAAGAACCAAGTAGAAATACTAGAGTTGAAATATACAATGATGTACAGGATACATTTGCTAAAAAACGGCTTAGTAGCAGTTTTGAAATCATAGAAGAAAGAATCAAAAGATTTGAAGAAAGATCAATAGAAATTATCCATTCTTCTTGTTGTTGTTAGGTGCCATCCAGTTGGTTCTGGCTCATAGCGACTCTATGTACAACAGAATGAAACATTGCCTGGTCCCAATGTTCCACTGCTATTCATGATGTTTTTACTGGCCCATGTTTTTCAGAAGTATACTGCCAGGTCCTTCTTCCTAGCCTGTCTTAGTCTGGAAGCTCTGCTGACACCTGTCCACCATAGGTGACCCTGCTGGTATTTGAAATACTGGTGGCATAGCTTCCAGCATCACAGCAACACACAAGCCACCATAGTATATCAAAATGACAGATGAGTGGCAGTATCCACTCTTAAGAACACAGAAGAAAGGATTGTAGAAAAATGAACAAGTCTGCCCATAAGCATACATGTAATTGGAGTCACAGAAGGAGAAGAGAGAAAAAGTCAGAAAAATATTTCAAGAAATAATGGTTGAAAATTTCCCAAATTTGATGAAAACATTAATTTACAAATCCAAAAATTCAATGAACCCAATGGAGTTAAATTTTAACATTTTAATATAAAATATTATATTTCCTCATAATATTTACTGAAAACAATATTGCATAACTCAGTCCAAATATTTGAAGCACAATATAAGATCTACTCTCTCTTGAGAAGAAGATTTCCAAACAAACTTCTCTTGGTATTGGGCTAATTATTCCTTCTGATCAGATTTATGGACCAAAGTCTCCTGATTTGAAGAATCTCCAACTCCTTGATGGCAGAGATACTAAGTGAACAAAAGCAATTTTGGGAGACATAATGATTTAAAATTTTTCTTTATAATAGGCCAAGTATCCTTTTTTATTTTACTTCCCTTATAAGATCTCCATGAAATCTAATTCTTTTCCCAAAATTATTTACTTTTGAGATAGGAATATATTACTGTAATATATTTCGTACAATTTCTATGGGAACAATAATACACTCAAAACCTGAGCAAGCCAAACAAGAAACAAAGACAGTTGAGCAAAGTCATCATGCATAAATCTAACAGGGATAAAAATAAAAACGACTATTCTGACATTCAATTTTGAAAACGCTGCTTTCTAGATGTAAATCTTTACGAAATTTAACACATTTGAGCCACAAGAACAATCATAAGTCAGCCTCAAGTAATGGTTTTCATTGTTCAATTTATTTCAGTAGTTTTCTTAGTCAGTGATATACATGAGTTAACTTATTTAATCAGACATTATCAATACAGCTCTTCTCTTATTGTTGGGAAACAACTTTCCATAGGGCGATCGACTTCCTCTTCACTCATTTAAAACTCACTGTCTCCTTCAAAGACATTTAGAGGCTGATCTGAAATTATAAAACAAGAGACAGTAAGTTCCTATTTTTCTAAATATAGCTACTAACTTATGTAAAGACGAAGACACACATATAGACACACAAAATGAATTGATCAGTTCAGATAGATTTTGAGGTGTAATATTCTAATATACATTTCTTTAGGCAATTTTCTTCCTGCTGCCAGAGCTCATCTAGAATTCTGAGGCCTAGAATGTAATAACATAATCTATGGAAGGAGAAGAGAGTTAAATAACCTAAACTGAAAAAGAAAGGCAAAAACTGCATATGGTTTTGGTTTTAGACTGTCTCTGGAAATGAATCTTTCAAAGTCTTTAGTTTGGACTCTGCTAACTCAGAATTTATGATTAATAAATTCTTAATAAGATTAAGAAAGGTAAAATTTTCCCTTTGCTAAGCAATTAGTAAACAGAATTGCTGAAGTGAAATGCTTTCTCATCTAGAACCCTTGTTGCAAGTACTTTAAAAAAGAACTTTGTAGTGTCTATTTGCAAAGAATAATTGTGGTAATATAAAATAGATAGCTGCCACAGAGTGGACTCCGACTCATGAGGATCTTATGTACAGAATGAAATGTTGCCTGGTCTTGCATCATCCCCACGATCTCTGGCATGTTCGAGTTCTAACATAAATTGCAAAAACCCATTGCGGTGGAGTTGGTTTGGGCTCATAGCGACACTATAGGACAGAGTAGGACTGCCCCATAGGGTTTCTAAGGCTGTAACCTTTATGGAAGCAGACTGCCACATCTTTCTCCCTGAGCGACTGGTGAATTTGAACTGCCAATCTTTCGGTTAGCAGCCCGGTGCTTAACCACTGCACCACCACGGCTCCTTTTTAATTTACTGTTTATTAAAATTGGTTTAGAATAATCTAGACTTGATCCTTTGTTCTTAACATCATGAAAATGAAAACATCATAAAGTTACACTTTTCACTGAAGTTTTCCAGATAGAGAAATTAGTACCTTTGTCTATTACTAAGAAGTGGCAAATGAAAAGGAAGAAGACTTCAGCCATAAATAAATCCGAATAACTCCAAGTATTACTTAGAGCAGTCCTGGGTAATTACATTGGGGCTAGTTATAACCTGAAAGATTTTTGTGTGCTTTGTCTCTGATTTTTCTAACATGTTTCTTGTTATTTTGAAAATTTAATATACTTTTGGGAAAAAAAGGAGAAATTCAAGTCCATTCACTTGAATCCTTACATCAACTTTGAAACAATTTTGTGGTGATGATGTCTAAATATTCTCTAATAAAAATCAGAAGCTATGCTTGTTTCTACATCCTGGCACTTATTCCCATGAAATATTCAGAATTGACTATGGAGTGTATAGGAAAGCTCTTTTCAGAACTGCTAGCTCACTCGTGCTGGGAATTAGAAAGTTTTCTCAATGCTGTTTATAAAGCATTGTGCTTTCTAGTCCTGAGACTTCATCGGCTGAATTCCCCACTCCATCATGCCTCGACCACCCACTCTACCCTGGGCTAGGCAACCATTTGGTGTTGTTGAGTGTCCTCATCGATTACGGTTCGCAGCGACCCCACGTGACAGAGTAGAATTGCCCCATAGGATTTTCTTTTCTGTAATCTTTACGGAAGCAGATCACTAGGTATTTCTCCTACAGAGCTGCTGAGCGGGTTCAAATTGCCAGCCTTTTGGTTAGCAGTCAAGCACTTAACTGTTGTTCCACCAGGACTCCATTAATCAGTTCTAATTAAGCCTTGGAATTCCTTCTCAGTTTACCAAGAAGCATTAGCAAGCTGTAATTACAAGTGACAGCTCTAGAATTTGAAAGAAAGCATTGTTCTTTTCATGACAGATTTCCAGATTAAGTTTGATTTTTCTTCCCTTTGTCCTGCCACTGGTAGGTGTTTTAGAATTGTCCTTTAAAAAATACAGATAACATTATCACACACTGAGTGCATGTTTTTCTACATCTCTAGAGTGTGATCCCACTGTTTGTTATATTAACGTTGTCTCATCAGACACAAAGCCACTTATATTTAATAAATATTGAGCATGTACCATACGGTAGGCACCAGAGATTAAAACAATAAAAAACTCATTGCTGTCAGGTCGATTCTGACTACAGGACAGAGTAGAAAAGCAATAAAGGGCAGTATTAATGCACTGAATCTGGGTTATACGTAAGGGAGTTAAACGTGAACATCCTACCCTATATAAAAAAAATGAACAGAAATCTTAGGCATGAAGTTATTAAGGAACAGCATTTGAAGCTGGGATCTAATCATTCTCTCTCAGTGAAAGAAAATCCAGAGCCTCAGCCTAAGCTCAAAAGTTAATCCTTCTGATAAATTCTTGAAGCTTTCTATAGGAACAACTTCCTTATCATTAGCTCTCTCTATTCCAGAGGGAAACGTGATATTTAACAGACTGAGGCTATAGCCCATATAATAGATGGTAACATAAAAATCGAAAAAAAAGTGTTTAATTCTGTGAGAGCTGATAATTAAATTATTACTTTCAGTGACAGAGTAATGTCTGTAAGCTTACTTGGTGGGTCTTGAGAGCCCAAAGTCATTTTTCAGCTTCCAAGGCAGGAAGAACTTTGTCCAGTGAAACTTGGCTAAAATCTTCACAACCATGGATGAGGGTGTCATCTAAAAGAAAGGCAAAATCAGTATTACTGAGTAGGGGAAAACCTCCCTCCTGCAGAGGAAAGAGCTGTTAGGTATGATCTTTGAGGAGCTGGGAAAATAAAATAGATCAAAGAATGCTTATCAGAAAGCTGAAGAACATGCTTAGTTACTGTTTTGAAGACATTCAATAATCGAATTGAAAAGGGTAAACAATTAAGTCATTATCATT